ATCTAGCATTTACTTGGTAAAGTTAGGATGGCATCGTTATCATCAAGCACTGCAGCTGTGAAGGGACACTGTGCTCATTTTACAGACATGTGTTAGTTTATCCAGCACTTTTAAGTTGGTTACATCATCACCAATTACTGCTGCACTTAAGGGTCAATTTGCATACATTTAAGCTCTAATTGAATTGTCACAGACTGTACTTTTGCAATCAATTCCCATTTAACTCAGTACTTTACATCCTCCCCACCCATATATACCTGGCACCTGAGGATCATAGTACAGTGGTACCTCGGGCCAAGAACTTAATTCGTTCCGGAGGTCTGTTCTTAACCTGAAACTGTTCTTAACCTGAAGTACCACTTTAACTGTTGGGGCCTCCTCCTGCCGCACTGCTGCCATGCAATTTAACACTTTTCTGTGATCCAAATACTGAAGCATAAGCCTAGTGATAAATTTGGCAAGTGTGGGACTTTGCTTCCAATCAAAATGTGGAATCCAGCAAATTAATTGAATTTAAAGTTCTGTCCAAGCCTAGGTCTGAAGGGAAAAACAGAGTGTATTAGCTTTGCATTTCTCAAACTTCAGCTGGCTTCTAATGCTTCCAGCCTTTAGCACTACCTGAAAATGAATGGCTCTAGTATAATATAGATTTCTATGATTAATTATCAGCTATATCATAATTAACATACTTCTCTACCTTACAATAAATTCTGCATAGGAAAGGGTTGCAGGAAATTCCTGTAAAGGTAACCCCCAATGCACACAATGGTGATATGCACGCTCATTTGTCTTGCTCCTGCCAGTGCCGGTCTCTTAAAATAATGATAGATTTTTATTAATGTGTGCTTGAATACACAAGAGCTATGGAGTCAGGTCTATAACAGACACAGGTGCAGCACAGTTGGCTGCATTTTAAAAAGTAAATGTATAAAGCTTTTTGTTCAAGAACACTTCAGGGCACTGTTCTTCATATTTAGCATTAGGTTCTTCAGTGAGAATGCTACACTCACACCAGAATCTTCTAGTAATGGCTCTTGGCCTTCTAAAATTTTAAGAATGACCTACAGATGCTGACATTCATTGTTGTTGTGCTTCTGATATTTCCTGTAACATGCATCCCCAGATGTTTGCTATAATAAATGTCAGATAGCTCGTGAATGGAGAGGTTTGCTCCCCAGGCCTTGGCAGGCCATGGATTGACCACCCATGATTTAGCAGCGTAGTAGAAAATTCTGACATTTACCAGGCGATTCCTATCATGCACAACTTTTTTGCATATTTGTAGCACATGTTCTGCACAGAAGTCACAAACATGGGTCTGGAATCCCTGGGGCCATAGGCATGCGCAGCACATTTCATTAGGGCGCGTGGCCAGGGATTTTTTGCTTATTTGTTTATTTCAACCAAGGAAAAAAGGGAGGAGGGGAAATGACAAGACTGACAGATGAGGAAAAGGAAGAGGGGAAGGGGCCAAAAGGCAACAAAACCACCACAACGAGAATGGTCAAGAAACCTAAACATGATAATTTTTCCTGCTGAGAAAAAGACCTACACCAAGCTAACAAGAGGCAGGGCAGATCCAGAGGGAACAGAGCCTTTCACCCCCCCCCCTGTTCTCTCCAGAAACAGAGCTCAGATGAAGGCAGAGCCCTGAGACAGTGACACAATGCAGGCAGAAGAAAAAGGCTGGAATGGACCTGCAGCTTCTGCCTGTGAAGAGAAGAAGAAGAAGAAGAAGAAGAAGAAGAAGAAGAAGAAGAAGAGGAGGAGGAGGAGGAGGAGGAGGAGGAGGAGGAGGAGGAGGAGGAGTTTGGATTTGATATCCCACTTTATCACTACCCTAAGGAGACTCAAAGTGGCTAACAATCTCCTTTCCCTTCCTCCCCCACAACAAACACTCTGTGAGGTGAATGAGGCTGAGAAACTTCAGAGAAGTGTGACTAGGTCACCCAGCAGCTGCATGTGGAGGAGAGGGGATGTGAACCGGGTTCACCAGATTACGAGTCTACCGCTCTTAACCACTACACCACACTGGCTCTCCCCCCCCTCCCAGTCCTTATGTCCTTATTCCTTGGCCCTCAGTTGTTGTTTTTTTAAAAAAATAGGGGTTGACTGAACACACCCAGCACAATCTCTGTATCTGCCTATGCCTGGTGGGGGCAGCAGTCAAACACTCCACCTCACAGGTGTTGCCTCTCAAATGAAAAATTGCTCCTTCCCAATACTGCCTACAAAACAACCCTTAATTCTTGGAGATGAGAAGCCCCACCACTTTCAGTCATGGGACTTTTTAAAGTATCAGGATGGAGCACAGCCACTCACCAACCAATCACCGTCTTTGGCTATATGGACTTACTTTGAATTTCATTAGGTTGGTTCTGAAAGTATTCATGTCGGTCCAACAAGGAACCTATTCTGAAGTGTACAAAATTATGATAAGATAATTGGGGTATATAACTCTTTTCTGCGCGGGATGTTATAATATAGGAAATAGTAATTCCTATCAAATTTCTTATCATTTGCATCTTAGAGTTGCCTTATGACACTATTCACTCTGGTTTTGCAAGAGTGAAGGGGCTGAAATATCCGAATCAGCTCTTTGTTGTCTGCGAAAATGATAGGCTGGCTTCAGTGCAACGCCAGCCATGTCTACTCAGAAGTAAGCCCTAGTGAATTTAATGGGGCTTACTCCCAGGTAAGCAGGCTTAAATTGCAGCCAAAGACTAGTTGAGCATAGTCCCCACTTAAATCAATGGGACTTAAGTTGTAAATAACTTGTTGCATTGATTTCAGTAGGACCTAAATTAGTCTGGACCCAAGACATTGGGCACAATCAACTTAAGCCCTGTGGCTGAAGTACAGCCTCCATCAATTTCAAGACACCTATGTAGACTCTAGGGAAATGAATAGAAAGTGCAGTCAAATGTGTTTGGTGAATTACAATAATTTGTGTTTTAGACACATCGTGAGGATCTCTGGCCTGCTGTGGAACTGTGTTTGCTTACTGTATTGTAACATACTAACCCTTCTTTCCTTCAAACTCCTAAGCTACTTCATTGCCAACCATCTCAAGCGCAAGCTAGGATCACTGCACTCCCAGGGTGTTGCACCAGCTTAGCAATAGGGATCAGAGCTAAACAACCACCATCCTGAGGTGCAGCGTTATGGCAGAATGCAAAGGTATGTATATCACAGTGGGGAGGAAACCCTCTTTTATCAAAGTTTTTTTTAATGACTGATGGAATATAAGGAAGATTCACTTATTATAACAAGAGACTTGACATATTTGAACAGTTATTTTAAACCCTTTTGTCACTCACTCAGTTTTTATTAGGTGATCACAGACTCCTTAAGAACAAAATAAAACAGATCCCTGGCCAACAAACAATGTCTCTCCAAAAGTCTATTCCCCAGTACTAAGCTTGGGTCATTTTTGCAATCCTGCAAAAGGCAGGCACTGGCCACTGGAGCGATGGCTGTTTGGTGCCCTGCTCACAGAATGAAGTCAGCACCAGGTGAACCCACCTAGGGACTGCAAAGTCTTTTTTTGTGCTAGAAGGATACCAGATTTTTAATTCTTGATCTGTGGTTTTAATTGCTGCTTACCTTCTGCCATTGATGATGATTATTAACAGTCATTGTATTTCCTGTCACCCTTCACCACAAGGCGCCAGAGCAAGTTACAGCAAATGAAAACATGAATAAAAACAATAAAAAGCAACCCTACCCATAACCTCTAAATCAATAATCTACACGACACATTGCAGGGAGGGCACCAAAATCAACCCTTCAATTTTCAAAGGCTATAGAGATTGAAATGCATAGATCCATAGATGCAAATATTTTCCCCACAATATTTGCCTTGACTTCTATTTGCTTGAAGTCATGGAAATCTTCCTTTTATTTCTTCCATATCACATCTTTCTTTTCTTTTCTAAAAAAAATAAACGCCTTTGCAGCGTGCAAAGAGGGAATACCCTGCATTTATTTCCAGGAAAGCAGAAGACTAACCTGGGATTTAGCTGTGAAGGCTACTGGAGGCTACAAAATCTGCTGGAGGGTGCAGGATTTTCTCGGTGTCACTATGAATAAATCATCGGTAACACTTTCCCTCTTTGACGGTGGCAGGTAATGCTCAGGGAGAGTTCTTGCATTTGTCAAAAATGGGACTTTTGCAATGAGCCTTCAGCCAAGCAAAAAGTGTTTTGCAGCAGCTGGATTGACATAGGCTCTATCTTCTCTTAGGTTGATCCTGTTCATTTGATACAAGGGCATACCTACAGTGCAGCGAAATATAACCTTAATCATATCCTTTCTGGCACTTTTTTAAAAAAAAACAACCAGCTGAGCTTTTATTGTTTCCAAAACCAAAAATGAAAACATTGCTCTGTTTGATGAGTGGGGAGGGGCTTGGAAGGAGGTGTGGCCTTGTTTGGAGAGAGGCGGAATAGAGGTGAACCTGGATTGGATACCTCTCTCCACACTGGAGGGTTGAGGAAGGGAGGAGCAGCTTGCTCTGTAGCCCAGTGGCGTAGCGTGGGGGGTGCAGGGGGGGCCGGCCGCACCGGGCGCAACATCTGGGGGGGTGCGCGCTCGCACTCGCAGCTCTCTGCCCCTACCTTGCTCACTCACTCTCTCTCACTGCAGTGCTGGCTGTGTGAATCCGATCCAAGCCGCTGGGTCGCCGCCCACTGTGGAGGGGGTGGGTGCCAGGCGTGCAGTGCGGAGAGAGAGCGAGGGACTATCTGGGGGAGGGACAGTGCAGCGGCCACCCAGCGCAGCGCTGAGCGTGGGAGAGAACCACACCAGACCAGACCAGGCAGCAGCAAGAAGAAGCTGGCAGCGGCGGCAGGTTAGGGGTTAGGGGGCGCAAATTACTTGCCTTGCCCTGGGTTAGGGGGCACAAATTACTTGCCTTGTCCCGGGTGCTGACAACCCACGCTACGCTGCTGCTGTAGCCCTCTGGCTCTCACTGCACCACTTGCTCATTGGCACTGCTGTCAGAGTCCTGGGGCTTCATCACGTCTGGGAGCATGGGGGTGGGCTGGAGAAGGGATCAATGCGGAGGGGCTCAAAGGCACCACTGGCTCTGAAGGCCAAGCCAACTGTCGCTGGGGCCTGAGCTCGTGCTGGCTGGCTGGTGAGGCCACAGTTTCTGAGGGTTTTGCTGTCATCAAAAGCTGGCCATCCTTGTATAGTCTTTGTTCTTCTGGGGGTCTCTTAAGAATCCCCTCAACTACTCTTTTCAGTTCATACACCGTACTGGACTCCTTGGCGTCTGTGAAGATGGTCGTGTTGCTACGTCGGATCATTAGCAAGACATCCATCTCTGTAGCTGCAACCTCAGCCCAGACACCCCAGAGAGGAAAAAGCAGCAGAACCCTCAGTATCCCAACATCCACCTCCTTTCTGGCACTTTTGAATGTCCCCCCCCCCCACCCTCTGTTCTTTCTCTGTAATCTAGGTAATATGTGATGAGAAAGAGGTGGGCTTTGGCAAATATTCCATTGAATAATATCTGGCTGGTCAATGACAAGTAACTGCGTGAAAAACAAAATGACAAGGGATATACAGTGAAAAGAAGAACCTTCATTTTTTTTTTTCATTCAACAAGTACCACTTAATAGTGTAGGCACAGAACCATTCCTTTCAGTGGAACATTTGCCCTGGGTCCCAATTTGTAGGAGTAGATCACCCAGCTGCCTGACCACTGAAGTACATGGAAAAACAGCACAGTGGAAGGGAAGCAGTTTGGCAGGATACATTTTGCAAAAGGTATGGGCAGCAAGGGCATCTAGAGGCACAGACAGATTACCCAAGAACTGACAGAGAAAGGGAGAAAACCCAAAGAGGAGGGATGATGTGAGCTCTTGTCCTAGAGGAAGAGGGGAAGAAGGGCAAAGCTGAGTAGCAGAACGGAGAGGAATGGGTGAGGCTGTCCCAAAATTTGGAGTAAAAGCACAAATATATCTTGGTGGGGCATCCGGGAGGGCACATCAATATGTGTAGAATTAGGCTTTGCAATGTGGTTATTTGTTTAATTTATTTATCTATGATGTTTGTATGCCACCCCAAAACAAGCCCTACGGAGTAAATCATAAATCCATTAAAAGGGTGTGGGAGGGGGGCTACACAAAACAAAACAAAAAGAGCCACTCCTCCAAAATTTAAAATAGTTGTTAAAAAACAAGAAGCTTACATTACCTGAGTCATTTTAAAGGTTGGGCTATGCTAAGCCTTTAATGTTTATGTGGGTTGATTTTCCTCTGTGCGCTTTTGTGCACTTTTATCCATACATGAGCACTTGCAATTTTATGCATCTCCCTTCAATTACTATTTTCCCTCCCCTTCACAAAGTCCTGGAAGTACAAGGTCTTTTGCAGACACATACATGGTTCTTTGTTTACCTGTGTACACACGTCTTTATTAAAATTGTGTCATCTATGGAATTGAACGAGAAAAAACTTCCGCAAAGGCAAATGTTTCAAGCGTGTTTCCGAGTGGGTAAAACTGGCAATTAATTTTATTTTCAAAATACATGTTTTTTCCATTTGCCAGTTTTGCACAAAACAGCTGTTTGACAAAGGAAAATACATCTCTGTGTTGTATCTGGCTGAGCTGCAGCAGAGAGACAAAGAGCAGCCAGGCAGGAGAGTTCCTCTGATCTCCAGACTTTCCCTGGCAACATAGAAAGCTGTGGTGCAGTTCAAAGAAGAAAATAGCACTATGTTTTACACACAGACACTAGGGATGGACGGCAACTTCACTTCAGTTCACATTTAAAGGTAATGCCACCTAATTCATAGTTTCAGAAACAATATACGAAGCAAAATATTGCCATCCTCCAAAATTCACACTTCTCTGAATTTGGTAGTACATTTTTCCAGCCAAGTCGTGTCTACAAAAATGCATTTATTATGAAAAAGTGTGCATAGAAATCAACATATTGTTTAAAATAATATACAAAAAAGCATTCTATTAAGAAAGGTGGCAAAATATGTATGTTAGGCAAAATTGCATACATAAATGTATATATTGGGAGCAATTCACAAAAATGTTAAATTATTTTTAAAATAAGCCAAGAGGGGAAGCGCATTGCTGCCAACACCATCAATATCACACAGAGGAGCAAGGGCTCCTCAAGAGTAAATAAATACTTATGAGTAAGCTGGTCATCACATGCAGAGCAAATCTGCTAGCAACAGGGATGGCTTGCAGCTGTGAACTTTTGCATGATACACTGAAGGTTTAGGTTGTAAATTATTCAATATTTGTAATAGAACTATTTATTAAATTTATACAGTGGTACCTCAGGTTACATACGCTTCAGGTTACACATTCCACTAACCCAGAAATAGTGCTTCAGGTTAAGAACTTTGCTTCAGGATAAGAACAGAAATCGGGCTCTGGTAGCACAGCAGCAGCGGGAGGCCCCATTAGCTAAAGTGGTGCTTCAGGTTAAGAACAGTTTCAGGTTAAGAACGGACCTCCGGAATGAATTAAGTACTTAACCTGAGGTACCACTGTACACTGCCCTTCATTGGAAGATCACAGGATGGTTTATGGTATAAAAACACCAAAAAAATGACATAATAACAAAGGAAACAAGAATGCCCTCCCTCCAAACACACATAGAGGGACAGTATGCTGAAGCATCTTCCCATTAGATTTCTGACTTGTGGGCTCCTATCACCTAGCTGGTCATTAGAAAAAAAAGAAACCCTTGTTGGGCATTTGGGCCTTTTACTGTCTGCGAGCCATACTTCTTGTGTTGCTCTTGAGATTTGACCTTGGACTGCTTCTTGACCTTGCTTCTTGGGCTCCTCCTTCATTCAGACCCTGGGCTACTGTAAGGTTCCAATTCTGGGACTGCTGCTCCTAAGTCTCCGCTGCTCTGCTTATGTGCCAACTGAAGCAGGACACAGAGGCACTGCTACCTGCCACTATTAGCACAATTCAGAAATGGTAGAGGGTCTGTAGGGCTTCAAAACCCTGGTGAACCTGTTTGGACAGAGACGGCAGGATAAAACAAACGTGTGTGTCCTTCACAGAAAATGTCCCTCTCATAACATCTTCAACTCATTTAAAATCTATGTTTTGTCTCCAGTGTTTTTGCCGCAGGCAACAGCAGCTGAGATTATTGCTTAAGATTGTTGTTTAATTGTTAATACCCTCCATTGCTCGTGTTACATTGAGAGCTCCCACAAAAGAAGGGCATTGAAAAATTATTTTTGGCTAACATGGAACAAAAATTAAAGATCTGGTTTGCTTTCTGCCCTGATGCAACTTTAAATCAACTCCAGCTTTTAGAACACAGTCCTCCAGATGTAAAATCCAATGTTTTATTCATTTAAATTTATGGTTTTCACGTAGCTCAATTTGGTACAGTTCACAAACTTCACACATGTTTGAACAACAAAAAAATGCAGGGTAGCACAAAAATAAATGTGCTTCGTGTAATGTTTGCCTTATGAAATATGTTTTATTTCAGATACTAGAAAGAGGTCACTGGTCTGGAAAACAGACAGCTAAGCAAACCAATGAATAATATTATATATATAGCAAATAAGCTATTTAAAAACATTTGTAGCATGTTTCTTCCCTGAACAAGAATACAGCAGCCATGAGCACACAGATTGTCCAATGACACGACAGAAATTTGTTTCTTCCTTGGCCCACCTCTAGTGATAGATGGTGCCCATTTGGAACTGGTGGGGAGGAAGGCAGGGAAACACACTGTAGGCACAGCCACATCCAATGACAGGCAAAGCCAGCCAAGGGTGTGTATTAGGGCTGTGCACTGGATTTAACTGAGGCCTGAGCCCAATCAGAGAGCTTCGGGTGTTGGACAGCGATGGATGGCTGCAAGTTGGGCTGGACAGCCCAGAGCAATTTGTGGCTCTTGGTGGGTGGGGCATCAGGCAGGAAAGCAAAGCAGGCAGAGCAGGGAAACCACACAAATAGGCCAAGCCCTATCTAACCAATGAATAGTTCTTCCTAGGAAGAAGTAAGCCTGACGTCGTGGTTCTTCTTCCTGCCTTATGCCCCACTGTGCAGGATCAATTCCTCTGCTCAACGGTGCCAGTGCTGCTTTGCAAGCAGCTTTCTTGCAGGAAAATCATGTGCTCCTTTGTCAGCAGCTTGCTTCCCTTGTGTGCCTCTTGAGAAGGATCAACACCACACAGAAACAGATCCTTCAGCTTACTAGGTGGTAAACAGAAGAGTCCAGTCCTACTTGGTGCCCCTCCTGGCTATACTTTTAAACCCTAATCTTATATTAAGATCAAATTGAGGGGGGAATACCTTAGACCTGTCCCCTGAGTTTCCTCAGGAACAGATCCAGAGGGGTGGGTGGTCCCTAGGGGCAGGTTTAGAATAATTAAAAAAGCCTAACCTAAAAATCAAAAAAGAATTTCGGACAGAGTCAGGATATTCCAGCCTACAATCATTGGATCCCACATGTTATTCGCAAATCCAATGTGTGGCTGTCTGCTAAGAGAAGTTTGCCTGGGTGCGGTGAGCAGGCAAAGTGCAATCCATGATCCTGAACTATATATAGGCTCTGCACACTGAGTTCTCATCTGAACCATCCTCTGTGCCATTCTACTTTTTTGTAATAGCATTGCCAAAGTGTTTTATGGCCTTTTTATCCTCGCAACAACCCCATAAAGTAAATTATGGTGCAATGTTAGCAAAACAACAAAAAGAACAACACCAGTACCTTAAAGACTAACAAATTTATCATGGCGTAAGCTTTTGAGGACTAAAGCCCACCTAATCAGATGCATCACTCTTTGCAATCCAATAATACATTTGCTAGTCTCTGAAATGGTACTTGGCTATTGTTTCATTTCTGCTGTAAGCCACGACTAGCTACCTTACCCCTTTGGTTGAAAGGATATCAGCAAAACATTCCCAACACCACATAATAAGCCAGTAACAGAGAGGAGGGTTTTTAAGTTAAGTCTCCAGATACTGTGGTGTGCTTGCTTTTTAAAGGCATGACGACAAGGATGCTCTTGCCAATTAGCTAACAGTGCAGACAATATTCTACCCAATCAAAGGGTGATGCAGCCTAAGGGGTTTAATGATTGGCATCGCCACCTCCTACTTGAAAACCACAGCCTCCCCTCATGGAGGAGACATTTCTAGGAACTATAAGCCTCAAAAAAATAAATGCCATGAGCATGCACTGAGCACACCTGCCTCACCAAAGAGGAACCTCTGTATTTATTTAATCGGGTGATCGCACGGCAGGTATCCTTTGTATAAACAGTACGTTGTACCATCACCACAGTAAAAGTTTTTGGCTGGATTAAGCCAAAGG